GTGTGTGTGTGTGTGTGTGTGTGTGTGTGTGTGTGTGTGTGTGTGTGTGTAAATAACTAAAAACTAATTTGGTCTCTCCACAGAGTAAACAAAATCCAAGATCAAGTTTATGTTTATAATTCTTAAATGAGAAATATTAGACGATGCTCTCGGAGCTTTTAGCCTTTTAATTTGTTATTAATATCATTGTAACGGTGCAAATAGCGCATTATTTATCTGTCAGCAATCTATATAGTTTGAAATGTCGAAGAAGGTTCCGTTGATGTGAAACATCGGAGTTTGGACTAGCAATAGTCTGTGTTATATATGTAAACAAAACTATAAAATCATAATTGTGTATCTGTGAAAACTGATAGAGTCATGTACACACACATATATATATATATATATATATATATATATACATATATAAATATATATATTGTTTTATATTTTATATATATATATATATATATATATATATATATATATATATATATATATATATAATATAAAACAAAACAAAGTAATTGTCAAATGTACATACGTGTTATATATATATATATTTATATATTTTATATATGTGTGTGTGTATATATATATATATATATAAAATTAAATTCATGCAATAGAGGGTTAACTCACGCGTCGATTGTCGTCAGTCTGTCCGTCTAACAAGTCTGTTCACTTCTTCCTAAAATTTTCGATTCCGCCTCTGTCTCTGCCTCCGCGTTTCACCCGTTCCCTGCTTCCTCCAGTCTCGCCTCACAATCGGCCCCCTCGGGTCCTGGCATCAGAAACGGGACAGACATTTCATCCGGATACGTATTTTCAAATGACGAACAACCTTAAACATCGTTAAACTTGTCGAATATAAAAACGCGAATTTTTCATTGTAAAACGAAATATCCGTTCTCGTTATTCGAATGAAACGTTGTCCTCCGTTTTCTGGCGTAGAGTCGAGGTGTACGGAACCGTGCACGCAAAATGCAAACTGTGTGCAAAGGGAAAACGAAAAAAAAAACAAAAATAAGAAACTGAGAGCGAGAGAATAAGATTCCTTGATGACACCTTCGATTGACGACGCTTAGAATTAGGATTGCAATCTCACGAATAGCCACCCACCCACCCCCACCTCCCGTGTTTCTTTTTCGACGGGAAAAAGAAGAATAGAAAGGAAACACATGGGAATCACCTTTGAGCGTGGCGTTTTCTTTTCTTCCTCTTTGGCGCGCTCTCGCGTGTGTGCATGCGTGCATGTATGTGTTCATGTGCGTGTATAGGGATAATCGAAGGAGCGAGTCGTCTCTTTATTAAGGGAAGGACATGATAACACACGAGAACCGATGGCGGAAACGATGCACCGTTGTAGTCATCGGAAATTCAATCCTCTATTAACTGTGCTTTTTACGGAAACGTAACTTGCCCTTTTTTGCAAATGAATCGCACACGCGTAGCGACATTCTAGCGTTCTTTTCGAGTACTATCAGTAGCGTGTACTATCACTAACAAGTAAAGCGGCGAATTTGCGTTACTTTCCACGAACAGTTTTACTAATCCGAAGTAGATTGCATTCTTCGAGTAACTCAACCATGTTCTAAAATTGTACAATAGCTTTAAAACGCTCGTTTTCTTGTCGATGTTCCATTGTCTTTGGTTCCGAAGCTTTTCTAAAGTTGCTGGCCAACTAACGTAGAAAAGTGCGAGGTGTTAACCAACTATTAGCATGTAGATGATATTCGTTGAATTTCGTTTGAAAAAGGTTGTCGACTAACATTTAAACATGTGATTGTATCACTGCCTGACACGTACGATGGCCTTGGTCCGCGGAGGATTAATATTTTTGGTGTAGCACGCAAAGCATCTCTTGTAAAAGCATTATTCTCGAATAAGTTCGCAAGTGCAGCAGTCGTGCCTTTTCATCGGTCATGTTTTAGTATTCTCCCGTAAGCATCGGTTAACGAACTTTGTAAATAGTTCTAAGGAGTAATAGTAAGTACGGTATCAGCAGCACTTAGCGCTTTGTATCAAAGAATGCGATCAGTCGATTAGTAATGATATTTGCCAAGAAAGTAACGTCTGGTTCGTTTGTAAAATTATACATCGGTCCATATTTCTATTTGATAGCGACAACGTATAGCTCTGATCCCTAACGTATGTTTGTATCGAGCCAAATTATTTTTAATTATTGTATTCGTAACGGGTTCTAATCGTAACATCCATTGGTAAAGGTTTGGGCGATTTCGTTGAGCTCCAGGTGCATCGTTTCCGGTGTCGGGTTAAACTAGGAACGTTTAACGGTTCCCGGCTCTTAAACGTAATTTATTTCGAGGATCGATAAACAGCATAATACTATTGTTATATAAACTAATTCAAGTCAAGTTTTCAAAATGTTACGAGCACGAGGATGATTTATCGGATCTGTTGGTTCATACTAATTATTTCTTCGGATCGACGTTTTTCTCGCCATAGTTTGTAATATTTTAATATATTAACTATTAAACGAAAGGAACGCGGGGAGAAGAGAGGGGAGCAAGTCCGAGTCTAGGAGTCGAGAAAAAAGAAAAAGATAAGAGCGTTACCGAAAGCGATAAGAAAATAAAAATCGAGCCACAGGTGCACGTGTGCACCCACGCTGTGAATTCGCGCGATCCGTGTACACGCGTACTTGTTGGATCAATTGTATGAGGAAATCGCTAAAAGAGAGAAACCGAAACGAAACGCATAGGCAGAGTGTGTGTGTGTGTGTGAGAGAGAGAGAGAGAAGGAGAGAATAACGATAAAAGGAACCGATTACTCGTTTTAAGCACCGACAGCTGTCTGTCTATTTGACTTGTGTGTTCGACGAAGAGAAAAGCAAAATATGATAACAAAAAATACCAATGGGGAAAAAAAAAGTAACAGTACCTACTACGGCTCACGCGTTTGAAAACAAAACATTTAAACAAACAAAAAAAAAAGATTCATCGCCTCGATGTTAAATGTAAACACGTTTTACAAGGTAACAGAGCATTTCATTTTATAACATTTCTACTGTCTATACTTTCACCCGGACATTCTCACAAGTAGACGAAAGAAGCGGTCCATGTGCTCCAAAATTCCCCACACCTCCTCTTCTGCCGATTAAACTGCGCTACACATGAAATACGTGCTCGGTACACGTTCTCGCTGCAAGCGTTCCTGTGTAAAAGTTCTAAATGCCACGATTTTTCTTCATATTGCTCCCTGGAAACATTAACATACGATAAAAAGAAGGGACGCTTGTATATTTACCGCGACAACGAGTTCCTGACACGAGATTATTTAGTCTTTGTCGGTCTTCAGCAAAAGTGCAAGGAGAGTGCAGCGGCTTTTTCGATATTCTAAAAGAAACTTGTCATTTATAGGTGTTATCGATACTTTGAACTGCGTATCTAAACGTCCACGCGAGTTACTTTATTAAAGGACTGAAAGAAGATCCTCCATTGATATATTGGCTTCGACAGGTAACGCAGAAGTCGCAAGATGGTGTTAAGAACAAAACGGAAAAACGGCAGGCCGATCAACGGCAACGCGAGTCCCTGAAAAGACGCAAATCCTTGCCTCGGCAGACGGAACAATCGTCTCCCGTCGATCCTGAGAAATCCCTGTCCGTTCCTGCCTCTCAAGTCCCGACGTCCAACAGTATCCCGATGTTTTCTGGCTCTACCATAACGATGTCGAGTGCCAGCAAAAGCACCGTGTCCGAGGGAAACGTTTCTAACGGTTCAACGGCATCGAAGGAGATTCAAGGAGCGACGCGCTTAGAAACTGTGCATGTCTAATACGACGTCTCCTACGCTCTACCTGTTTCCAACGCGGGACTATCGTTTAATTCGTTCCTTTACATTCCTCGAGCTCGCGTCATGGATGTTTCGTGCATGATTTATTTTCTCCGTCGTTCACAGGCAATTCGAGAAGCTTCATAAATCGCCAACTCGAGTCCTGCACGGGTATAGTTGCTTGTTAATTATCGTAAATGTTAGCGATGCGCGTGTCTTTCCGTTTGTTCTTTTCTCTTGTTTGTTCTAGCAAAGATGGATCCGGTATTGTTAACGTTACTTGTTTTTGCGTGATACATAGAAATAAGTTTCGCGAATAAAAATATTTGGTTAGCGATTGGATTCGGCTCGAAATATGCGTAGCACCGAGTTACGAAGCAATTAGATAGAATAAACCACGAAATAAGAACATCTGCTGTACGCGAGTAATGACTCGATTTAGTTATTACAATTCTGTTTGAAATGATTCAATTTATATTATGGAACCAAATAGTAATTTAATAAAAATACTTTCTTTTGATACAATAACTTTTAAATCTTGATTTTAATACGTTACACTTAATTACTATATTAATTTAATTGATTACAAATTTTCTAAACTTTCCTTAACATCTGGATACGAGCATAGCAATTCTCCAAATAGTTTCAGCCATCGAGGGAAATGTGACATCAAAACAATGACAGTATTTTTGTCTTCCGAGTGTATGCTTTTTAATATTCTCAATGTAGCATTTTTAGAATCAATGGTATGATACGCTGGTTCTATTCGTAACAAAATTACAACAGATTGCAAATCTCTGGGGTAAAGGTCCAGAATATCTTTACCTTGACCTTGGCAAGTTTTCTTCAAAAGATTCAAAGTCGATTGTATAAAATCCATAACTGTAGGACAATATTCTAACTTTAACAGTAGTTCTTTTAAAAAGGCACATATTAACAAGAAAATACACTGAGACTTACTGGCGAATTCAAACAATTGTTTTGTCAAATTCAGAATTTCAGAATTGTCCACATTATTGTCTTTATTTAAATCAGAGCACAGCGACACAAAATAATTTAACAACGGTTGTTCTATTAATTTGCACCTTTGCAAACGATAAATATTCTCTATCGTTGAAAGCTCAAGATTCAAGTCTGAGCTGTTTTGCACCGCGTAACATAATAATCGTTCACTTTCGTCACTGGTTTCCAATTCCAGGAGCCGTAGAAGTAACCTCTCCACGTGATGTTTATAATATGGATTTGTAGATGCTAAGCACATTAAAGCACTTGTCAGTGGTAACAAGTTGTCACTTAAATCGCATGCGTCTAATACATCATTTGTTAAATATTTTTCTAATACATTTTTCAAGAATGTCGAAGTTTGTTTCTTGTCGGTAAATATTCGTATGTTTCTAAAGGCATCAGTAATTGTGCACCAATCTCTCAGGACGTCCTGAAAGTAAAATTAAATTGTAAAACGATGCGATTATGTATAGATTTTCAATTGCAAAAATACATACGATCACATGAAGTCGCACAGTATAACGCTGATAAGCTTCTTTCGATACTTTGTACGTCAACAAGTTTGTCAAAGATAAACATACTGCGTTAAATATATTTTTAGACGTTGGCAAAAATTTGTCATCTCGAACTAGTTTTTGATATTCCTCCGAATTGTCACGGTCTTTCCACGCACTTTCACAGCTGAGTAGAATTGTCTTTAGAATTCGATTATCCATGTCCCTTACCGTTACAATGAATTTTGGTCAAAAAATGATAACAGTACTTATGGCAGCCATAGAGGCTTACGACAGCCGACGGAAAGACAGAAATTTTGTTTGATACTTTTTACTATAAAACAATTTGTACAATACAGATCGAAACCAAAAATGAATGGAAAGTAAATTAACAAGTGTACAGTAACATATTTAAATTAATTTTTCATGCAAACTTCTGTCTCGAGAACGTGACAACGTCGCATATAAACATGGCCGTTGCGCGGTACTTTAAAAAGAGCGGACGCTTTAAGATGCTAAAATAAAACAATTAAAAACTGTTTATTCTTATTATAAATCTTCAAATGAGATTAATAAAAAAATATATTCAAAATATTAAAATAGTGTATATTAATCATGAATGCGATGAAACATTGTGTTAAACATGACGTCATACATAGTTTCATTGACATTTTTCCTCAAATTTCCCTTCATTTGCTGGCATATTTCCCATTTCAATTTCTACGATAATTCCCTTTACTGTACCTTCATTTCCTGCCACACTTCCCTTTAATTTTCTGACATTTCAGGCAGATTCCTCTTTAATTTCCCTTCATTTTCTTGCACATTTCCCTTTAATTTCCCTCCAATTCCTGGTATATTTTCCTTTAGTTTCCCTCCATATTCTGGTATATTTCCCTTTAATTTCCCTTCATTTCCTTATACATTTCCCTTTGATTTCCCTCCAATTCCTGGTATATTTCCCTTTAGTTTCCCTCCATATTCTGGTATATTTCCCTTTAATTTCCCTTCATTTCCTTATACATTTCCCTTTGATTTCCCTCCAATTCCTGGTATATTTCCCATTAATTTCCTCAATTTCCTTGTATATTTCCCTCCATTTCTTGGTATATTTCCCTTTAATTTCCCTCCATTTACTGGTATATATCCCTTTAATTTCCCTTCTCTTCCTTATACATTTCCCTCCACATCCTGGTATATTTCCCATTAATTTCCCTCAATTTCCTCACATATTTCCCTTCAATTTCTTACACATTTCCCTTTAATTACCCTCCATTTCTCGGTATATTTCCTCTTAAATTGCCTTCATTTCTTTATACATTTCCCTTTAATTTTCCTCCATTCCCTAGAATATTTCCCTATAATTTCGCCCCATATCTCTGTGATATTTCCTGGTTTAACAATGTTGCAAATGCTCCGCTCAAAACATCAAGAATAGTGCAAAATCGCTCCGCCAAATCTTCCACAATGGTGCAAACTCAACAATGTTGTAAATCGCTTCTCTCGAAACTTCCACAATGTTGCAAATCACCTCCCGCCCCATCCCGAAACCTCCACAGTGTTGCAAATCCAACAATGTTGCAAATCGCTTCTCCCGAAACTTCCACAATGTTGCAAATCGCTTCTCTCAAAACATCCACAAATGTGCACAGCTCAATAGTACAACGAAGTGGGAACTCAGATGTTCGGCAGAATGTGACGAAATCTGAAAAATCGCCTTTTCTCCGAACATCTGAGTTGCCACTTTGTTGTACTTTTGTGCGCTGCAACATTGTTGAAGTTTGAGCGGAGCCATTTGCAACATTAATAAACCAGGAAATATCACAAGTATGGGGCGAACTTATAGGGAAATATCACAGAAATGAGGGGAAATTATAAGGAAATATATCAGGAAATAAAGGGAAACTTAAAAGAAATATACTAAGAAATGGAGGGAAATTAATGGGAAATATACCAGAAAATGGAGGGAAATTAATGAGAAATATGTAAGGAAATTGTGGGAAATTAAAGGGAAATGTATAAGGAAATGAAGGCAATTTAAGGGGAAATATGCCGAGAAATGGAGGGTAATGAAAGGGAAATGTATAAGGAAATGAAGGCAATTTAAGGGAAAATATACCAGGAAATGGAGGGAAATTAATGGGAAATATACCAGGATGTGGAGGGAAATTAAAGGGAAATATGTAAGGAAATGTAGGGAAATTAAGGGAAAATATACCAGGAAGTAACATAACTAACATAACCTATGAGGCACTCCTGATAAGTCAGCCGTGGAAGGATGGTGTAGATAAATAACTCTGCAGTATTCAGAATAAAGCCAACGTACTTTATTATAAAACTCCTTAACTTTCTTACTACTCTCAACAACGGTTCACAAAGCTCTGAACTTCCCGGCAATGCCCGCGCAGAGCGTACTCCCCTTTCACAATTCCGAGAGGAAAGCGAAGGAGTGGGGTTAAAGCGTTAAGGCGCGTCCCCACAATTGTTGCACCAGTGGCGCCATCCATGAGAAAACGCCCAAGTTTGTAGTGGTGATAGTTCCATTTGTTCTCGGTAGATGGTGATGTGGGTTGGTACTGGTGGCGCCATCGGTGTGGAATCGTTGAAGTTTGCAGTGAAAATGGTTCGCACTATTGTTTCTAGAAGGCGCCGCCATAAAGTTATTATAGCGCCATATTTAAGCAGTTTGTGTCATAGGCATATGAAACTATTTTCATATGCCTATAGGTTTGTATATGCTATTTAAAATTATTTGAACGATCAGTTTAGAATGTCGTCAAACTGATATAATAATGAACCGAGTAATTAATAAGAATTATATGTATAACTTGGAATTACAGTCACTTCATTATTGGTATAAGCGTGTTGTATCCCAGAATTCGTCGATTAAATATAACAATATACTTAAAATTATGAAAGATTCAATTTACGAGGCTGATATTATAATTACCAATACTCAAAACATTACAAGGTAAGTAATATAAGTTTTAATTATATATGATAATCAAGATTAGAACTCATTAGAACTATTACGCAGTGCTATTCAAAGGCAGCATATTGCTTTTCATGATAGAATAATTTTAAAAAATATTTTTGAGCATTGGAAAATATATGTTATACATAAGTTACATACAAGAAGGGCCATGTACAAAGCAAATTTCTTTTATCGCACGCAACTACAAAAAAAAGTTTTTAATACATTATCAAAAAATGTATTATTAAAATGGAAACACATTGTTTCATCTATGTATAATTGTACCAATAAATTTACAATTTCTGTAAATGATGTGAAAGCCGATGCTCGTAACTTGAAACTGTTATTGAAACAATATTTCACATACTGGTGCAAATATGTTACAATTAAACATAGAAAAAGAACATTACTTGAAGAAGCTATTGCACATCATAACTTGTATTGTTTGAAAAAATATATAGCAAACTGGAAGATGTACACAATAAAGCAAAAGAAAAAGAAAGTTCTACAAGATAAAATAGACAAAGTAATGTCAATTATTACTTCATGCTTGTAATATAATTGTTTACTTTTTGATATATAAAATAAATAATCCTTAATTTAGGCACGCGAATTTTATACAAAATGTATCTTGCGAAAATATATCAAAATTTGGATTCGTATTTGTAAATTCACATTTCAAAAGTTTAAGATACAAAGTGCAATTCTACATTACGAAAATAGATTGCTAAAGAAATATTTGAGAACTTGGAAAGTGTATCATGATCTTAAAATACAAAAATTAAATATGAAAGAATATGTTCAACAATATACTGAAAAAAAATTGTTGAAACAGTATTTTGAACTATTTGTTATGGTAAGATTTTTATAAAATCTATTGATATGTTATGTTTCTGTTTACTTCTATTAAATATTAATTACTTTTATGATAGCGTGTAAACGAGTCTATTATTAATAGAAGAAAAAAAATGTTTATAACACAAAATTTTTATGACAAGAAATTGAAAATGAAGTGTTTAAGAAAACTTTATAGCTATGCCGTTTATAAAAAAGAAAAGAAGATAAAATTATCTTATTTACACGATAAAAGTGAGGCGATTATTCGACAGTTGCAAATCATCTACTTGGAAAAATGGAGAAGCGCACTTTATTTTACCGTGCAAGAAAAGAGAAAATTGCACCAGGCCATCAAATTTTGGGAATTAAATCTGACTCATAAATATTTTTCGTATTGGAAAGAATTTTCTCAACAGTACAAAATAAAAACAGTTCGTAAGGAGAAGTTGGACGAGCTCGCTTCTGGCTTTCTATTGAAAGAATGTATTTCGCATTGGCATGCGAAATTACAACTACTTCTTGAAGTACGTAAAAAAGAAATGTACGTAATTTCGGTAAGAGAGCATAAAATTATGAAAAAATGTTTATCGTCTTGGAAAGAGTACGTTATACGAAAAATGAAGGTAAAGAATGATATCGAAGCAGCAAAAAAACTACATAACCAATTTTTCTTACGCGACGGATTGAAAGAAATTTTAAGAAATTCTCTACGCAATATTGATTATCAATATAATATGCAAGTAGAAAACGCAACAATGAGATCTCTTGAAAATTATGAAATTTTAAAAGAATACTTCGATAAGTGGTACTCTATGATTTATTTAAAGTATACCTCGACGTTGTTACACGAAGTTGCAATAAACGATTTCCAATTTGCACACTCTCAAACATCGTGTAACAACATACTTGATAGCGTCAAAAACACGTGGTTAGTTTTACCAGAATACATGAAAAAAAAGTCTTTCTAAAAAGTATTGTCCTAAATATCAGTCTGTATAATACAATTGCTGTATGATATTGAAAGTGAGTGAAGACGGTTAATATATTTTTTCAAAGACGCCACATATATGTATGATTTCAAAAATGTATTCAGTTTAATTTTCTAATTATGAAAATTTAACTTTTATTTCTTCTTCTTCAGTTTCTTTAATTCACTTTGTTGCATGGCAGCGTCGCCAAAGATTTCTTTCACTTTACGCTTGCGTTCTTCATCATTCTTAATCTGTTGTTTGATTTGCAATTTTGCTAAGAAGGCCCTGTCCCTTCGTATTTCTCGAACAGCGCCCTTCATCTCTTTTTTGTATTTATGTAATAATTTTTCCCTCTCTGCTTTCTCTTTAGACATGGTCTTATGCCTCTTTCCATCATACCTGTAAAACCATTTAATACTTGCAATTTACACCAAATACATTAGAACGAATAATATACTCCACAATTGTTACATACACTGTCTCGATTCGGGGCTCGTAAAGCCTCAATGGTTTTGGCTTTTTCTTTTCAACCACAATATATTCCAATTTTATAGTCTTCAATTCCTTCAAGTCATTTCTTATCTGTTTAATATGCTTTTTCACTTTCAACGGGTATTTATTAAAGGCATCTGGCTTGAGCAATTTTAAAACTGGCTCAAATATCGAATACACGGCCTCTAATTCTTTAAGTTGGTTTTTGAATTCGCGTATTAAATTTACAGCCGTTAGTAGACTCCTTACTTTAAATTCGTCGTCTATATCTCCATGTACTAGGTCGACTGCTCTCATAAGGGCGCCACCGAGATCAACATCTAAATTATTTTGATCCTCTTTAAGTACTAATAAATTACTTAATTCGCCAATTGTTTTAAAGGGTGGTATAATCTTCATTCCCTGAATAATGTGCTTCGGTACAGATATATAAATTATTCCTCGTAAGAAATTTATTACAGATGGTGCAAATCGTTTGCTCAATAGCGTATACTGCAAAAATTATTTAAAAATATTTACGATGCTCGTTACAATTTATTAGAACAATGCAATTAAATGTCACTCTTACCTCTAAAACGAGTGTACATATGAAGAGACCTTTCGAAATATCCACTTTATTTTTAACACGGGATCTAAGTAATATTTGGGACATAAATATCAAACAAGGTGTAACGACAGGATGTCTGAAATCAGATGTAGGAAATATCAAAGAAACCAATTTGAAGAAAATGAGCTGAAACAAGAAATGTTTATCATAAACTTACGATTAGCTTTATATAGCATGCTTTTCTTAGTTCATTTATGTAATTAACATACCGTATCTAATTCAGGATATTTCTTTTTATTTTTCTCGAATTCCTCATGCTTCTCCTTAATTATTTCTTGCATAACAGTTTTAGCATTCTCTGGATTCATTTGAGCAAGATCATAAATAAAAGGAGATAATCTAAAAAATATGTACATAGTTAATGTAATAATATAAATATTTAGTTCTAATAATTTCATTATTAGCAAGATGTACGTTACCTATCCATAACTTGAAAGCAATGAATAATGCTCTCGATATCGTCGTCCACGGCACTATCATTTAAATGTTGCAGTAAAAATAAAAATAAACTCGATAATTTTTCTTTATTTTTACCATCTAATGACCAGTGATTACACTTTATGATACGATCTATAATAACTGACTGGTATTCAGCATTACGACTATTCAACAATTCCTGCAATTCTTCATAATTTTCTGGTGCCTTATAAGTATAAGGCAATTCTTTCCTCGCTTTCTCCATAATTTCTTTTCTTCTTAATAGATCATCTCTAATTTCTTGTTTCCTGTTTTCATCATTTAACTGAATATTGTTTGCATCATTTTTCAACTTTAAAATGGATTTCCTGTTTTTACTGGAATCCTTTTCTTTCGAAATAGCTTTATTACTTGTATCAAATGTAACGCTCTTTTTTGGTACAACATTTTCATCTTCGCTAGACGATTCTTTTAAATCGGAGAAATTGTCATCTTCGGAACTTATAGCTTCTGAGATTTCTGCATCTGAATTATCTTCCGGTCGGCTTTCGTGGTGATCTACAATTTCTTTTTCATTGTCAACGTCGTTATTAGAATTACCGTTATTGTCTACGTCGCTAGAATCATCATCGTTATCATCATCATCATCATCTTCTTCTTCATTGCTAGAGTTCTCTTTAACATTCTTGACTGTACTGTTTTCTTCTTCGATCGATGCTTCATCATTTATAGTTTCTACTGCAAAACCATCGTCAAGATCATCCGCAGACTTGTGCCTAAGTTGATTATTCGTAACATTTACAAATCCCTTCATTCTTGCTAATCGATCCGCTTCGAGAGCCTCCAGTTTTTCTTTTTCTTCTTTTATGATTTCTTCTTCAGATTTTAATTTATCGGATGGCACACCTCTGGCTTCAAATTTCAATTCTCTTACAGCAATATCGTAATCATCAGCTTTTGTCTTATCGACCGTTCCTTCGACGAGTTTATTAGCCGCAGTCATGATTGGAAGGAGATCCCTCCACTCGGAATCAAGTTTCTCAGTTAAATCTACAGTCTGTTCGCGTATCTTCTGTTTCTCCGCTTTTCGTTTCTTCGATTCAGCTATAAGCTCGTTTATGAGATCTTTCCTAGACTTTCCAGATTCCGATTTTGACAAAACACCTCCGCCGAAGTGAGCATCGCCAACAAACTTATCGTCCAATTTTCCAGTCCTATTTCCATCGTCACTAGATTCATCGTCGCTTTTAGGATCGTCAAACTTTTCTATCTCCTCCAGAGTTTGACCTCTGTGTGTCAATAGTTCTTCGTCGTTTAAACTGTAAATATTCTTCTTTTTGTGAGCTTTCATACGTTCCGCAGCAAATCTTGCCAAAGCTTTATCTTCTTCGCTCATGGTAAAACTTTTTTCACCTATACGCTTATCTAGAAATATATTGTCTTTATTTTTTACTTTATATTCCTGCAAAAGCGTTCCTTTGCGTTTGTTAATTGCTTTTGCACGCGATACACCCGGAAGGCCTTTATCTGCTTTGCTCCTTTTCCCAAGAACATTTTGTTTGTCTCTATTTATATGCACTTCAAATGGATTTATACGTTCCTTGCTCTGCTGACTTCGCTTTCGCTGAGAAAACTCTGATAATGATTTTTTTTTTGCTTTAACCATTGTTGAATATCTACATGAAGTATATAAAAGTTTGTATTCTGAAATAAAAAATTAAGTAACTCTCTTTTCTAATATAGATACTCGATCTTTCGAATGTTCATGAATGTTCTTGTTTTATTAATTTACATTATTATTATTATGAAATATGTAAGTAGATTCTATAGGTATGGAATCTATATGGGATGGGTCTAATATAGTGTCGCAAGTAGTATGTCTAGTACCTAACCTACAAAAATATATTGAGAATATATTGACATATATGTCAAATGATTAACTTCCCTGTTCTACTTGATCTAAAGAACAAAATTGTACACATCTGCAGTGGTTTAAAAAGAAAGAACAGCTCGAAATTATTTACTTGACCCACTCCGAATATAAATAGTAATTTGAAATAAAATTGTTTCTCTCGCAAACATTCGAAATGTATATACTCGTATTCATGTTTCTTACCTTTGCCACCGGTAATTTAAATCTGTCCTTTACGTATAATTAAGAAATAAACTTTCTCAATTTACAACCTCATTTTGGGATCATGTATCAAACTCAAAATCAGACCCATCAATACATAATTCTCAGAAGGTGCAATGCGACGTTTTCTGTAATTACGGATTATAATTATATAATTTTTGTAAAAGTATTTCCTATCAACGTTTCTATCAGACAAATTTTCCTTAAATATTTACTCACTTTTACCCACGTGTATTAGACTATATTTGACTTTGTTGACACCATTGACACAACACCACAAACTACACGCTTGTTTAACAGAGGCGAAACTCTAACGTCAGATTTAACTCCCAGTCGCGCATGCGCACTGGTTTTAGCGTCAATAAAGTATCTAATACGACCATAAAACTGGCGCTCTTAGTCGCCCCAAAGAAAAATAGAATTATAAATGAAAATTGGAAATACTTCTTAGCATGCAATAATATTAATTGTGTGGATAAATTATAACATAGGGATAGGAATTGAAATAATTTTACAGACAAAACATATTTCTTGTAACTAACAAAACGATTTCCGTTGTTTTGGCGCCACCCGTTGCTATGGGACCATACATTGTTTCTTATAGCTACAGCACTGCTCAGCTTTTTTCGACGCGGATGCGCGACTGAGAGCCAAATTTGAAATCACAGGAACGAAATCTTTCATGTCGCGTCAATCGAGTCTTTAAAAACGCGACGATATTTGAAATATATCATTATAAAAAGTAATTTTGCTTACATATTTAAGAAATAGTAGTAGAATGTAATTATCCTTATTTAAGAAATAATAATCTACTCGTTGTATCAATATACTGTTACAATACAGGGTGTCCCAAAAATGTTGTAACACCTTGAAAGGGGTGGTTCAGGAGATGATTTGAAACAACTTTTTTCTTAGCGAAAATATTGTGCAAGGCTTCGTTGAAGAGATATTAAGTGAAAACACTGACCAATCAGAGCGCGCGTATACCGTTAGAGCGGCCGCGGTAGCGTAGGTGGCCCCTCTCGTACGCTACCGCGGCCGCCTAAGAAAAAAGTTGTTTCAAATCACCTCCTGAATCATTCCTTTCAAGGTGTTACAACATTTTTGGGACACCCTGTTTAGTTACAGTTAACTACATATAATGTTTTAACGCGATAAATCCACTTCTGCCGGTTGCTTTATCCAAAACCCCCAAACAGTAAATTGCGTGCCGTTCGATTCTTCGCTAGGGTTTCGAAACACTTGTATCTTCACGCGAGGTATTTCGCCTGGAAATGAAATATAAGTTTCGTCGGAATTAAAATAATTCACGAAATAAAAAAATGATCTATCGAGATTACCATTTTGTGTAATTTCGTCTTGCAGTTTTTTCATTGTATCGCGTTCGGCGTTCGCAACGATCATCAAAGCGAGGAAGTATATTAAACGTGCGACCATCTGAAAAATAAAAATGCGGAGTTAGCGAATGTAAATACGCGGGAAAATTGACGAAAAGAATATTATAGACGTTAATATCTTACGACTTACCAGTAACTCCATCGCGATCGATCTGTATACAATGACGTTCTCTAACAGAAGGAACCCTTTATGTAGCGATGAATAGTATTTAGAGCATAACCGAACTATCGATCTCGCGGTTTTTAGATACATTCTTGTACGGAGAAAGTCACTAAAAAGTGGCAGTGAAAACTATCTGCGCCTGATAGCTGGCAACCCGCCAGTCGAACTGTAGCTTTGGTTGCCCTCTATCAGGGGCACCTTCTCCGCGTCTAATTGTAATTAAAATAAGTAACAAGAACATCTCGTAAAATTTTGATAATGTATTTTCGTCTTTCATAATTTATATATATATTTATATATACATATATGTATGTATATTTGGAAGCCCATTTTACATCGTTCTGTAACGCCTATACGATGCATATTCAACTACGACACATTAATGAGGTTTCTTTTTTTTTTCTCGAACCGTCACGAGAGCCACGTGATCTCTCCTTCGAGACAGACGTGTTTCTGAACAATGAAAAAATCGCGTAAATGAACGTGATTTATGTAACGGTGACGGTAATTACCCCTCTCACACATTTTTATACAATTATCAGCTACCGACGACACGAATTCAAAAACAAAGTTTGCGAGTGTCTAAAGACTATACAGAACTTCGGCCAGACACTCTGTGTTATTTCTTTTCTCCGATATTATTGCAGTTTGGATTCTATACACGCGCAAGTGTGTCTGACTTTGTCCATCGCTTGTTCCTTTGGTCGACGATTGGAATTAAAATTCGAATTGTACGTCTCGAATAAACGATTATTGTTGTACGTGATGTCGATCTTTTATAAATGACAAGGCAATATTACGTTACATGTAATCATTCGTCTACCTTGATGTTATCCAAGAAGGAAACGATTTCCACGACAAAAGATAAACTGGTTGAAACGATGATTAGCGACGATTTTACTTACACGTTAAATTTGATCATAGCCTTAACAATTAACGCTTAACCCCTATAACTCTCAATATATATGTATATATATATTTATGTATATGTATAACGTTTAATATTATTGACAAAGATTTTCGTCGATCAATAGATCGCGTTACGTTAATTAGTATTATTGTTCTGGAAGACATCATTGGAAGACTCGTTTCGTAAACATTATCGTACCTCAATTAAATAACACGTTTCAGCGACTGCGAGATGTTCTTAATATCCTTTTCACCCTTATTTATAAATATATACTTTTATTAGAAACAGACTGTTATACGTTCGAATAAAATGGCAATATTAATTTTCGCTTTTGTTGCCGGAAGGGAAATAAATAATTAATAGAATAAACAAAACGAATGTTCCGTAGGCCCATAAGTAGTTCCGGTTGCCTCTTACCAGGGACACCTCTTGCGCCTGATAGATGGCAACCCGCCAGTCAAATTGTAGCAACGGTTGCCTTCTACCAGGGGCACCTTCTCTGCACCTAATACGTGCCAACTCGCCGACAACTTGTAGCTCCGGTTGCCGCTTACCAGGTGCCTACCTGGGCCTGATAGCTGGCAATCGGCCAGTCGAACTGTATCTCCGGTTGCCTTCTACCAGGGGCACCTTTTCAGCGTCTAATTGTTGACAACCGGAGCTACAAGCTTTGGCGAAAATTGACAACCTATATAGAATAAGTAACAAGAACATCTCGCAGGTCTCACCAAACTACTAAATTTGCTACGATCATATTGGTTAAACTAACGTGTGATCTATGCGACCTGTAGAGGCCTCGGAAGACGTTGGATTATACAACTAATTGTACTCGCCCGTACAGAACTGATTACATCCACGCTGTTCAGGGTTTCTCCTGAAAGCAAATCAGCTTCTCCCGCTCTGTCACTATGTCCGCGACAGATAGAAATTACAAGATCCGATTGCGATTATAAAATCCCGAAACTCGTGTAACAGCAGTTAAACTCGTACGTACAATATTCACCGTGTGGAAGACATCGATACAACTTAAAACTAGCAAGATATTGTCACGTTAACTGCGCGCTAAGTCTAGTTGTTTACCTATGGAAGCCCCTGATGTCGACGATCATTGTCAAAACTTTCGAAAAAACGAAGACGCGCGACAATCCCGAAGCAGAAATGCTCGCGAGTAGATTATCCTCCTACGATCCCTCTCACCCCCCCCCCCCCTTAAATAGACCGTTCTGCTAGATATGTGTGAGTTCTGGTTGAATGTAAATATACAATCTCGAAATGTTCCAACATTCGCGTAGCCCACGTTTTCAACTAGGTATATCGCTGGAACAAACTTAACGTTTAGATAAAGATTTTCGTAGTAGACATCTCGTGGCCAAAGTTTGAACGGTTTCGTTCGCGAAAGATCAACGTAAATGGAAAAAAGAAGTAGTCGAGCTGCGCGCGTGTCCGAACGTGATACCATTTTCGACGAGAGAGGCAAACGAAAATCGAAAGAGCCGCATCGCGTCAAGTCGTTTAGAAAGGTAGACCGATCTTGAAGGCGTTGATCAGCTCGGTGCCCGAATCGTACACTCCGATCACGCCGAAAAGCACCCCCAGAAAAATAACGAAACAATCGTACGCAACCGCGCCCCACTCCATGGAGTTTCTCTTCAGCTTCAAATGGAAGTAACAAGGCCATATAAACGACAACATCGTTCCAGTAAACGAGCCTATAAAGCCCATTAGAGTACTGAAATGGGGTATGAAAATTGCCATGAGAATAGTGAAGACGATTACGCCTACTCTCCATGCGAGGCCCCAGACTTTGAGCTCGCGGTCCACGGTCCATATCGTTGGGAAGATGGTCTTCGGTCTGCCCCTGAAGAACGTCCTCTCGAGGAGCTCGCAGGCTGCGTAGTACGGCAAAGGGTAGGACAAGACGGCTTTCACGACCAGACAGAAGTTCACCAGGCCTTTGAAGCCGGCCGAATGCAGATTGTTGGTGATTACTTGCTGCGTGTCGTACTGGAACGTCAGGAAACAGATCCAACCGAAGAGGGACTTGAATGCTGCCGCGGCGATGTGGCTCCAATTTAACATCCAGTCGAACTGGGACCGATCGATCAGGTTCCCCTCCAAAGTGGGCAGGAATATCTGCGAGGTGTAGCTGAAGACGATCACGCCCAGGGAAATCGGGAAGTGTTCGAAGTCGAGGGTCCACTTCACCTTGGACCAGCCCCAATCGCCGATCTCCAGGATGCAATAACCGACGATAATCGCGTTTATAAACAAGTGGGACATCGTGCACCAGAAGCTGAGCACGGAGACGTGCTGTAAGGATTTTAGAAAACCAAGCGGCAGCAGAAATATCCCGATTAGCATCATCCAGCTTCTGGTGTCGATCGCGCCCTCGGGGAACGTCCCGATCATCAAATCGCCACAGAGCACCACATAGAGGATACAGGTCATCAGCAGCTCGATGATCTGGGCGACGTTCACCGCCCTGGCGCCCCACGTGGGCCCGAAGCATTCCTTAGCGATCGCCACGTACGAATCCCGTACTCTCACGCGTTGACCCGTCACGGTGTCCAGCTCGTACAGACACTCGACAAGGATCTTCCCGGTGTAACAGCAGATGTTGGCTACGCCGATCATCGCCGCGATGGCCCAGTAACCGCCTTGCAACACGGCGAACGGCAACGAGACGATGAACATTCCCTGAAACGACCCTGAGTCTTTATCCAAGAAAATTCCAAATACTTTTTAAAAAGTTATCGATATCAATCGAGGTTCTCAAACAGGGTCCTTCGGAGATCGAGGTCAGTTACTTTTTAGGTCGCCTATCTAGAGGTTCCCCGGCGTCTAAAAGCTTCAGTTTACTTTGGTAATATATTTTTGTTTCTATCGACTATTAAATAAAAGAAAATACCTGTATGGCATTCGTGACGTTCCAAGCAGCTTGCCATTCGTTAATTTTCACACCCGTCGCAAACTCGCCGCCACCCTCGTCGTACTCGCTGAACTCGCCGCTGCTGACGCTTCCTGTCCGTACTTTGTCCCTGTAAAAACGAGTCGCCTTAGTAATTACAGAAAAAATTGCACGGTAGAACCTAAGAGTGACTTACCCATTTCGTTGGTAGCTGAAAGAGTCCTCGGCGATGGCCACGTCGTTCTGATCCCGATAAACTTGTTCCCCGTTCATAGTCATCATCTCCGTGTTATCGTGACCTTCGTCGAAGGACTTGAACTGTTGTTGGCCGCTGTGTCCAGGTGCCTGGCGTTGTCCCGTACCACTGCCGCGAATAAGCTCCATGCAGGGGCTGTTCTCTGGCCACTTGGCCTTCAGTGTTTCCCAAGCAACGTTCATCGTTGCTCCCAAGGATGGTATATAGTATCCCCGGAAATTGGCCATTTCTTAATTCGTTGCTTCTGAAAATAGTAAAGAGCACAATTTAGTAACTGTCCGTCGAAAATGTAGAGAAAAAGTCGCAGAGGATCGTTACTATCATTTTATTGATTATCTCATCTCCACTTGGAAATCTTTACTTGGAGCAATCTCGAGTGAACCGTTTCGTAACGATGACGGTTAAAGTGGAACAATTTTGTTAGAATTATTCATAGTATAATGATATTTGTAATGTTACTGGATTAGTATACAAAGCACATGAAACTTGACGATTTAATATTCAAATATAGAATTCGATTGTTTAACGTTTAAACTTGTAATTGGAATTTAAAAAGCAATCGCTTTTAAAGTTATTGAGTACGCGTACAGTCTTAGTAATCTCCGTCTCGGTCTCACAATTAGTCGATCACTTACCGAAACGGAGAACAGAATTCGTCGAGTGCACGGACGTTGGACGACACGGTGTTAGGGCGCAACCTCGAGCGCGAGTCCCGTCTCGTTTAATCGGGCGCAGAACAACGGTGAAATTAACAAAAGACCCCGGCAGTCCTGGAGAACGGAAATATTTGAAAATAAAGGGTTGAGACCGTCTAACTACGTGGGCTACGACACCGCATGGTCGTCTACGGTCTACCCGCGATCGTCGAGTCCCTGATCGCGAGCCCTTAATCGCGACATAGACTGAGGGGGTTGGCGTGTTACAGGGGTTGTGAGATCAGAAGAATATGGCCAGCATCCCTGGAACGCGCAAGCCTCGATCGATGCCGTCCACGAGACATTTCTTGACACGTCAGTGCCGTAATCCACGGTCGGGGCACCCTTAAGTCCAACATATATTAACGTTTCGTACATATAGTTCTACCTCGCATAGTAAAACATCAATTTATCCAAAGATTACCATTCTAAGGTGTCCTAATGACTCTTATATTTCAAATAACGTAACAGTAACATACTTTTATAATATACTATTCAAAGGTACGAATAAACACCAGCGGAGATTTTAATAAATAAAGAAACCAATTTGTTTATTATTTATCTTAGGTATGTTACTCTTCACAGTAATCATTAATAATCGATATTATTAACTATACAATCGTTTGTGTCCCTGCGTTTTTCATGCAAATTATAGTAACGTCCGAACGAGCGTCTCGTCGTTGGTTATATCGTATACAAAATAAACGCTAATGTATGAATTTTATCATTCTGGTAACGATACAAGGCCGTGATATCACAACGAAAAATTCTCTATAACATCTATATCCTAGATGTACAATACCAATGCACTAATAAGGTAATTACAATATCATGGTTACAGTAGAAGTTACGAATTTACTATTAGAGCATTCTACGATGCAAAGCTTGAATGTGTTACTATGATTTTATAAACTTTTGTTGTAGTTTGAAATCACTTTAAGTATGTTTCTTCAATGGGAACTAAACGTTGTTAAATTGAGTCGGTTTACGTTTCAGTCTTCCGCTTATATGTATGTATGTATATATATATGTGTGTGTGTGTGTGTGTGTGTGTGTGTGTTTTTACATTTCTTTTTTTAATGGATACATAAAAACCAGAAAGTATATAATTTCGAACAATGTTTTAACAATTTGTATATGCAGGAATGACACACAAACATGTATATAGTAAATATACAAACAGCAAAAATGGAAAGTCAAAGGACTGATAATAGGTCACCGATTTTTGGACTAAGATTATAGCTAAATATTCGATTTTTAAATAATACAGTAATATATACCAAATTTTGTACTAGCTAATTGCCCACAAAGTACACAACACCCACAAATTTACATTAAATTGTACGTAGTGATAAACAAAACACATAATAGAATGTCACAAGATTCACAGAAATTGCTTTGAATTTTTTTTTTATGTTGTTCCACGGTACTGTACAAGTAGTGCGAGTGGCGTTATCGAAGAAGATACTTTTGCTTTATAAATCTAACGATAATCGGTAACACGATCAGGACACGAGAGTTAAAAATTGATTCATCTACGTAAGAGCATCAATCGTAACTGTAATGTCCACATGGAAATGTTAATTTGTATAAACAGTTATAGGGACGTCGAGTAACCGTTTTACTCGCTGACATCCCTTTGTGTTTGATGGGAATCACTATCCGAAGTTAAACTTTCGATACCACTGTCTTGTTGCGAAATCGTTTCGGAACTCCTAGTCATACACAGTTTATTAGATTTAGTCTCTGTGCGACTGGTTTTAAAATTCTGATCTAGATTCGAGTTTGAAGTGGAATGTAACGCGTTAGATTGAGCGGAAACAGGTCTTTGACAAGAATGCAACATTAGTTCTGGTCCTCCGTCGTATGTTTGTAAGAAAAACTGCCAAAGTTCTTCTGGTATTTGTCCGTAATCTGAGCCTACAAATAATTTTCGTATTTATAATATAAACACACATATATATATACATATATTAAGAAGTCTGGCGTTATTCTATTGGGAACTTACCCACTTTCAGGATATTCTGACCATTTTTATTTACTATAATAGTATTATTATCTATAGGTCCAGGTGGTTGAGTCTCTTTACCGCGTACAAAGCTTTGCCATTGGCGCAACCAAGCCATAGCCAATCCATAAATAGCGGTAGGATTATCGGTATTATAATTTAATCGTTTAAATACATCCATCTCGTATTGCCTCCTTTTCTGTAACGATTCATACTTTTCTTCGCAGATCGGACACTCGTATAAATGTGTACATGCCGGACCTCCTCCAAATCTATATTAACATTGTTTCGATTAATAACGCGATATGTGATATTAAACTTAATATAATTTAAGTAGTACTTACGTATTGTATAAATATTCCCAAACTGCCTGCGGAATAGGCATACTAAGTTTATCTACAAATTGTGCTCTAACAGGATTAACACCACCATGCGGACAAAGGAAATCGGAGTTGTCTATGGGTCCTGGTTCCGAGAACGTATTAAACCGATTTATCCATTGTCGCGAAACAAAGAAATTTAAATCGGATAATTGCCGAGATGAGATTTCCATCAATTCCATAGTTTTATCTCGTAATTGTAACATTTCTGGTGACCATTTTTTGTAGAATAACACATAAGCCTCGCAATGCTTTACGGTTTCCGGTGAGACCTCCGTAACGCATTGATCATCGAACTCGAACCATTTATTAACTATAGGATTTAACGCGTAACAAGTATAATGACCACCACCAGCCGTCCCGTGATGACAAATCACCGATATCAAATCGTACATAGTTACTTTGGAAACGCATTCTTTGTGCAAATACGGTCGCATATCTAATCCTTCTAATGGAAACGAAACGTAATTTGCTATTTTCGAACTAAACATCAATTCGTGACGAAACCTTTTCAAATGAACACACAGTATCTCTGGTAGTTCTAACACTTTGGAAAATTTAATTCCATTGCGCAGCTTGTTACACTTTTCACAACTATACATATTATCTCCTTTGAGTTCATCCGCGCTGAAAAATGCAGAAAGGCAGTCGTGAAGACTAACAACTGGTCCCCAGAACCAAGATCGCATCCATTGGAGGAACCAGGACAGCCAACCGGATTGATTCGTAACGTATACGACATCCGAGCATGGTCCTGCTTTTTGTGGAGTGAGAGATCCTTGATGTAACATATCAATGTGATCTCTGCTTGGAATGGGTAACGATAAATCTTGAAAAGTTTCTACTCTTGTTGAAATTCTGTCGCAAGTGAGACATTGTACGCTACTTAAAAGTTTACCGTCGAATATATCGCTAATGATACTTCGAGTTTTTATTTGCTTTTTAGTCCTGTACTTAACAGGTGAATTTTGCGTTGATCTTTGCGGCTGAGAAAATGGTTGATCTACGGTCGATTTTTTTATACTTCTATTTGTAAATTTACTTCTCAGTTTTTCTGATTGAGACACGCGGGAATACTTTCTTTTCGTACCACGTTCACCCTCGTCGCTAAGGGAACTCTGTTCGCTTACTCCGGAATCGCAAGTTTCGTATTCAGCATCGGACTGGCTAGAACCATTTCCATCGATTTCAGTTTCATCTTCGTCCGATGACTGTTCCCCAAGTCCTTTTAATCTTAGCGCATTATCACGATCATCCTCAATATGTTCTTTCAATTCTTCGTGCAACTGATCCATAAAACACCTCAAAAATTCTTGGGTATCGTGCTGATGATATCCCCTAAACATCGGATGAACCGTTCGAATACCGGATAATATTCCATGTGGTACAATGTATCCTCTTGTTTTCCTATTCCACATGTCTCGAATAAGGTTTAGGTAGCTTAAGCTTAAACCGGGTTTTCTATCTTTGGACATATAGTTAACCATATGACCGCAATCCAAAAAGAATTGAGTCAAGGGAGGTACATTTGATAAAGCTTGTAGCGCAGCGTTCATATAACACGTATTGCCAATATTTTGAAGACCAACGAGTCCTCTAGGTTTCCCAGAGAAATCTTTACTTTCATCCGAATCCGTACTATCCGGTGAATCTCCAAACTTTTCATTGAATCCATCTTTTTCATAACTAACTCGATTTATAAATTCACCATAAAACCTGTTATTTGCAAAATAAGAAATAGTTTGCTCTTTAAAAATTTGTTAACATTGTTCTTTTTAACACTAATATTTCAAAAAAGCTATATACAATGAATCACATTAATACTTCTAATATATTACTCTACGGGCTAATACTCATCTCAAATATTTTCGCGATGCTAAAATTAGGAGATATTTCCTTTCTTATTAGATATGTGAAAACTATACAAATTAAATACGAAATACCACAGCATCAGAATATTAATGTAAGTCATTGGTAAGCATTATGAAAGTTGACTTACTTGTCCAATATGAGCCTATTTAGATCTTCAGTTCTGCAATCCACGTTACCAGGGGCATCACCCGAATACTTATTACTTTGCGCTTTGATATCAATCTGCGTAGGTGACAATGGCGGCGATGGTATGTGTCTAGTTATAACTTCTCTTTTACAAGCGTAACACCATATACGATTCGTAGAAAGGTTCATATGAGCGCAATGATTAGGAAATTTTTGGTTGTGTACGGTACTATGATCTAAGTGTGTCTCTGCACATCCAACCCAACGACAATCAGGGAACAAGCACAACCATAAATTAGGCCCATCCGTGTTGCACTCACTGCATTTTATAAATCCTTCCTTTTGAGATAAGACTGTCTCGATAAATGCGAGATCACCACGATTGACGATGTGAGGACAGTTCCTCGATATGAGAGGCATTTGGATTTTGGTATTTGTCCCGTCGATTTTTATTGATCTTAGGACGCGAGATCGCGCGTATACTTTAATTTCTTACATTCGTCTAAAATTTGGTTTGCACGCGACTTGTCCGATGTTACAATCATTTCCTAACCTGATTGAGACATGTCGTTCTTGATAATTGAACATTATCCACGAAAACGATTGTCATTGGAGATAGTTGTGTTGAAAAAATTAACTATTGCAATCGGATAACCAACGTGAGAAAAAATATAGAAGTTGGTATACATGTTACAATCGATAATCGATTGAAATTTACACTCCGTTTGCTGAGAAGATGGAAACGAGGTAAACAAAGTCACCTGACTGTGACAGGTGGCGACAGGGTTGAATAGCATGTAGGGATATGCTTCGCCAGATTAAATTCCCCACACTTTTATTCGCGGCAACTAACATACGCGATTCGATAGAACAAAAGAAGAAATAAACTCAACGCGGTTCGTTATAACAAAACGTAATTGGATATAAAAATACTGACACCGTCGTTGACATACGTTGCATGTCGCAACTCGCGGTCCGATTGGTCGGGGTTTTCAGTTAATAATTCGACACAATTAAACTTATTAGTAAACGAGTCAGAGTGTTAAACTTGCAGGTCAAGAATAATTGAATGGCGAACTAACTGTTTACAGCTTGTTTATCCAAAGTATTTTTCTTATTAAAAGGTCGAAGCTTGCGTAGACGTCAGCGAGTGGTACTACAGAATGTTTCAGAAGAACTTGAAATTGCGAACGAATATAGTAGTCGGCACGGTACCGCTCCAAAATTACGAGACCCCTCAAAAAACAGACGACGTTACAGAGGCTTTTTCATCTCATCCACCGTGCACCAGGTCCGTCGAAGAATACACCAACGACATAGCAACATCGAAAAACATCGACAGAGAGCGTACTCCGAAGTCAGGTTTGTCTTGTACGTATACGTGCGTTACAAAATACACTGCTCCGGTATACAGGGTGTCCCAAAAATGTTGTAACACCTTGAAAGGGGTGGTTCGGGAGGTGATTTGAAACAACTTTTTCCTTAGCGAAAATGTTGTCCGAGGCTTCGTTAAGGAGATATTAACAGAAAACTCCGACCAATCAGAGCGCGTAGCCTACGCCACTGCGGGCGCTCCATTGGGATACTCGCGCTCCGATTGGTCGGGGTTTTCTGTTAATATCTCCTCAACGAAGCCTCGGACAACATTTTTGCTACGGAAAAAGTTGTTTCAAATCACCTCCCGAACCACCCTTTTTAAGATGTTACAACATGTTTGGGACACCCTGTATTAATTATGGTTACTTACTGAGTGCACGTGTTTACAATATTATCCCATTCAAGAATATACATAGGTGCTTCTGAACAGTGTTAGAAAATCTTTTGTTATGGGAAGTTTCGTTCGAACTACATTTGCAACTATTTGGGTTTAATGCAAGAAATGTCTATTCTAGTTTGAAAAACAAACATCGATAGTTTATTAATACAGGATGGAGCATTTAAATGGGAACACCCGAATTCTCTATTATTTCTAGTTCTATGAAAAGAATCTATAGGACACAGTTACACTGTTTGAAGAGGTGTATACAATAATGGGACCATTTTTCGCTCATGGTTATATTTTAAAGAGATTTCAAGATTTTTCATTATACATAGTAGTATAATCTTGTTGCTGATCACAAGATGAATTCAAATATGTAAATATTTTGACTTCCAGAGGACCTTGTGAGGAGTTATTCTTACAAAATCAATGAGATTTATACTGAAAATAGCTCCGTTGTTTTTAATGATATGAAGACATGCCTTAAAAGGAAGATATTTGGTTTGGAGTGTGTATGTGTGTGTGCGTGCGTGAGTGTATTAGACAATGTATTATACATATTAAAATTTGTATTTTGATCAGTTACAATATTACAACAATTTAAGTAATTCATACCATTTAAAAAAATTCCAGTGACCGGAAAATCTCTTTAAAAAATGACTTTAAAGAAAAAATAGCCCCATCATTACATCCACCCGTTAAACAGTGTAACCTTATCCCGTAGTTTTCTTTATAGAACAATAAATAACAGAAATATTCGGGTTTTCCTATTTAAATGCTCCAACCTGTATAATAACTTCGTAAACCATAGTTAAAATACAAAATTGTCAAGATTATGGGTGTTTTTCGTACATTTATTCACGTTTTTATTGTTCGTTTCTTTACCTATTTAAATGAATTGTAAAATGATCGGCGGATTAACGCTTCGGCGCTATTATCGGAAACACTTGAACAAATTAACTAACAAATGATAAACAATGAAAATAATGGAAAATAATTCAACACTTCGGATAAAATATTTAACTGAAATAATATTATATATCGTATAACTCCCACGGTTCAGATCAGATTTGAGTGCAATTTAATTTAATAACAAATCATAAACAATGCATAGAATAGTTAAGTATTTAAAATGAAAAATTTAACTAAAATAATATTGTATGTCAGCCCAAGCTAAAGGAATTGATTATTCATGGAATCGACAATTAAGAAAATCGAACAATCTATACTTTATTCTCTAAAAAGCTGAAAATACCTCAATTATTTATTCAAATACGATTTTCGATAATTATTGATTGTTTTTGAAAGTACTTTGAATATTACATATTACCACTAGAACCGTAGAAAATACTATATATTACAACAGTACCTCACATATTGTTTGAAAATTGAGACTGTTAATTATCATTAAGTAATGCGCTGATAGAAAAATTTGTTCTTTTTGTGATCAAAAATTCGAGAGCAATTTGCAGTTGAAAAGATTCCCTTAGCGCACTACTTAATTGCTACAAATAACGTCGCGAGTTTTGTTCTTGTGGTTACATCTATTTCCCAAGGGATGTTTACCTGAACTGACAAAAATAAACTTTACATTTTTTCCAGCAGTGCCGCTTTACGAGAGAAGTCAGATATATCGATCCTCGAAACCGGACAGAGACGATCCCACGGGGGATGAAGGGGACAGCGACAGAGAGGTCAAACCATATTCGCCAACGTATCGCGTGTACAAATTCCAATCGTCTGAAAAAAACGGATAAATAGACACATACATTGTTGGCTATATATAAACACAGAAGAGCCTCGCTTAATTATTCGTTCGACTTGATGTTCGTTAGCGATGTTTGTAACAGATTCACAAAATCGATTGGAAATCGTCGAGAAAGAAATAGGGAAAGGTTGTTGATGTTGCCTCCAGAAATTTTATATATTCACGTACACGTATCTGTGTGGTTAAATTGCGTCCCATTCTCATCCCTATCGGTCGACTATAGATGCCTACAATTTTGCCTTTGTCTCTTAATTTCTTACGCAGAAAAAAAAACTTGGAAGGATCACTAAAGTGAAAGAAACACTGCGAGCGAGATATTAAAATCCGTTTGGGACCAACCTGTGCTGCTAATTAAATTCCGTAATTACACGAGCAACTTGGAAGGAAAGTTATTCTATAATAATTGTTCGGTCCGTGTTATCTCCGATACCATCGGAGCAAATTTTTGCGAAACATGTAACAACATGTACTGCTTTAATGTTCAATAAAAATGTTCCCTCGCAACTTTGACTTGAATTACATTTCACCTTGTTTTTTTTTTGTCCTGATCAAATAATTGTGAAACCGAACAGAGGAAGAATGTGACCCTTAGTAGACGCGAATGAGTAAAGAAAGGGTAAATATGCCGAATAGTGGACCCCGCCCCTACGACTTTGATATATGTTGTCAAGGGCATCTTCCTAAGTAACTTTTTCCAATAACTTAACCGTCGCTCACTGCTTATTATAAAATAATTTTCGGAAAAAAATATAACCAACTTCGAAAAAATATTAAAATTACGCTAAAAAGTATGGAATAATTTCTATTTCATTTATACACTGACCCGCGATACTTAGTGGACAGTTCTTCAAAACGTCGTAACTATAGGAGTTTTCAACCGATTTTCGTGAAACTTCGTCAGGAGTAGTTTTGAAATGTCTTCTGGGTGTGTGCAAAGTTGCATTGATGAGGGTTGATGAGAAGGGGTTCATTCACCGCCCTAAATGGGAGGGGGTAGAAAAACCGCCGCGTTGAAACAGGCCAGGGGTGACGGAAGGGGTTGAAAAATTCAAAAAAACCTTTGGGGCGACTCTCCTTGATGCCCTCTACAAAATGCACCCCTTGAAATCGTTCTCGGACAAACCTACCCCTCACAACCCCAACCCTCTCTGAAATCCACAATTTTTGGACGACGGTCTCGATTTTGGACTCAATGCATTCTTTGAACTCCCCTGATCCAAAAAATGCCATCACCCATACCGTGCACCCCATAGGCATCCCTTGGGAGGGCGGAATAGGTCACTACTTTTCAACCCCCTTCGTGAAAGGGCACTTTTACACATTAGAGGGTGATGAAATTCACCAGGTTTGTTGTCCCTATACTAAGGTTCAATGCCGAAAAAATCCCGTTTCGAAAGCTGGCCCTGGAGCTGAACGGCCGCGGCCCAAAGTTAGGTGCTACGAGTCGGAGGGGGCGGCTGCGTAGCCGGAGCTTTCTATTGGAATATGGTTTTTTTTTGTTAATGGCTTGACCAGTGTTGTTAGGTAACACTGGGTGCCTTGAGGAAGTAAACGCGGAGACGAACCTACGTATGGCTAACGTAGGGAGCTCCAGGAAGGTGATATGTAGACGAACCCACGTATGGCTAACGTGGGGAGCTGCAGGAAATGTTAGTATTAGGTCTCGTAACAGTTTTTGATGTACCTCGAGCGGCAAAGGTACACCTTTGTGGGTACTGGACTTGGTATTATAATTGAACAACACTAATTAAAAATGATAATCCGTTATATATATATATATATATTCTGATATGCACCGGGACATACAATTGTTATAAGAGTAATTGTCGCGGTGTACTAATGGTAAGCTAATGTTACAAATTTGAACTAAGTTGAAAATATAGTTTCGATTCCATGAAGCTAGAATCTAATCCTTCTCGGTTTTCACGAACGCGAGCAAACGGGGGACGACTACAACGATAAAATAAATGCCTAACAGTAGACTACGTACTGTATGGTTAAAATTTGCTCGAAGGGGACTTGAACCCGATCTCACTAAAGCAACTTTCATTGTTGCCAGATGATCGAAAACGGTCGGAAGGTGACACCAACGGACTCCTTTGACCCAAGGTCCAGACCGAATTCCTGCGAAAAGAAGTAGCATACCTTGGACCCATTATTTCTGAAAAAGGGGTAAGACCCGATCCTAGAAAATTAAAAGCTGTCAGTAATTTTCCTACACCAACTACTCAGAAGAATATCCAACAATTCTTAGGACTCGCAGGATATTACCGAAGATTTATTGAAAATTTCACCACAAAAGCAAAACCCCTGATCAATTTATTGGGCAAAGGAATTAAATTCGAATGGACAGAAAAACAAGATCAAAGCTTCAAAACTACGCTCCGAACTTTGTCGGCAACCAATTTTACAGTATCCAGATTTCAGTAAACCTTTCATCGTTACGACAGACGCATCCGAATATGCTATAGGCGCCGTGCTTAGTCAAGGTGGAATAGGAAACGACCTTCCGATTGCCTATGCATCCCGTAGTTTAAATAAACCAGAATGAAATTATTCGGCTACGGGAAAAGAATGTTTGGCAATGGTTTATGCCGTAAAGTACTTCAGACCTTATATTTATGGGAAACAGTTCACCCTCGTCACAGACCACCGACTGTTAGTCTGGTTACACTCAGTCAAGGATCCAACCTCAAGACTCATCACATGGAAGTTGAGACTTTCGGAATACAAATACCAGGTCGTCCATAAGAGCGGGAAGACGAACAAAAATGCAATCAAGTAACTTCCATAGGAAAATTACTTCTGGTCATCGAAGCAATAGAGAAACAGAACCTTCTATCAAAACAATCTAGGAAAGGTCAAGTAATAACGTCAAATAATGAACAATATAAAAGATTCAGCATAGTAATTAGACGGACTAAAAAATCTTATACCCATTCTCGAACAAAACCATGTTAAATCATTCCGAATATCAGCAACAGGAGATTTTCACGATTTACAACCCGACGAATTCTACAATATATTGAAGGAAGTCTTCTCAGAAACAGATTACCAAATAACCACACCATCCACAGAAGATAAAATTAATATAATTCGTGAAGCTCATGACAGTTTAATTGGAGGACACAAAGGAGTCACGAAGACTTACAAACGCATCCGTTCAAAATTTCATTGGCCTAACATGCGTAATGAAATCCAAGATTACATCAGAACTTGCCAAAGCTGTCAATAACAGAAATTAGTACGTCCAAAAACTCGCCAACCGACGCTAATTACCGATACACCATTGCAGCCATTTGATAAAATATCTTTAGATACAGTTGGACCTTTACCGATTACACCCAGTGGCAATAGATATATTCTCACCATGCAGGATAATCTAACAACATATTGTCTAGCTGTAGCAATACCAAATATTCGAGCTACCACCATAGCAGACGCTTTCGCTAGACATTTTATCGCAATATACGGGACACCCCGTGCAATATTAACAGATAAGGGAACCAGTTTCATCGGCAACTTAATGACAAATCTGGCTGAAATATTCAAAATTAAACAAATTACAACTTCTGGATACAGACCTCAAACCAATGGATCGTTAGAACGCAGTCACACAGTACTCACAGAATACCTCAAACACTATATGGGTAATTACGAAGATTGGGATCTGCTAATTCCATTCACAATGTTTTCATACAATACCTCCGTCCATGAAGCAACAAATTTCACTCCATATGAGCTAATTTTTGGAAAACTAGCTCGGGAACCTAGCTCATTCCCATCAGGTGATAATTTAAAATCATATGGCGATTACCTAACAGAATTAATAACTCACATATCTCAAATCCGCAACGTAGCTTCCATTAATTTGAATAAAGCAAAAATTCGCTCACAGGATTATTACGACAGACATTCAAGACCCATGACATTTAACGTAGGCGACTATGTTTATGCACTCAAAGAACCACGTACTCATAAATTTGATCCAAACTATGTTGGACCATACAAAATAATAGACGTGACAGACTTAAACAATGTGGTATTGCAAACACAAAACAAAATAATAACTAAACATCAGGACAAATTAAAACTTGCTCATGCTTCACCTTATGCAGGGATCGATCAAAATGCTTATCTGGACACTACTGTTACCGCTGGTAGCTAGCCAACTACTCGATAACACGTCGATAATACCACTGGAACAACATACTGGACTTTTCTATGAAAAACTATCCGACATCAGACTTTATCACTCACAATGGCGACTGGTAACATCCCTAGATGTCAAAAAATACCTCACTCACGCACCGCCTGTAAAGGAACTCATTTCAATAATGAATCAACTTTGCGATCGTCATGATGGAGTCAATTGCCTCAGCAAAGAAATAGGACCCTGGTTGATCAAAAAGGCAGAAAATACAGTTCAATACAGCAACTTAATACGAGCCGCAATTTGTGATACTCAACTTGTCAAATTAAAATCATTACGACGCGGCGCATTATTCTGTTTCATCGGCACCGTTAGCAAAACGCTATTCGGAACCTTATCAGAAGAAGACGCAGAGAATTACAACCAGGAATTAAACAGAATATATAAAGATCAGCAAGAGATGGCAGAAATAGTATCAAAACAGACACATGTCATCAGAGGAGAATTCTCCCTTGTTCACAACAGGCTGACTAATTTAACGAAAGGAGTATCCCAGTTGATGGAAGCTACCGCAGAACATTCACACATCTTGGGGGATTTCGGGCAAGAACGCACCGTCAGCGAGATGTGCAGCCTCCCTCCGCGTTTCCGTGGCCTGCCGTGGCGAGCCATTAAAATAAACATCCGAGGCATCAAACCTCGGTCAGATTTTGTCCTTATATGAGCATATTCTGGGCTCAGTTGGGACTCATTCGAAAGAGAAAGGTCCAAGAAATGGCGCTATGGTCGTGGTTGAACGATATTGTGTCGATATTTAATAATATGAGCGTCCAAAGTCGAGCAAATGTCGAGCAAAATACATCTGCAGAATAGTTGTATTTTTAGGTTACTGAAAGGATTTTGTGACTCAAACGACGACTAGAGCCCCATTCCTAGGACCTTCCTCTTTCGAATGAGCCCTCATTGAGCTCAAAATATGCTCATATAAGGACAAAATCTGTGGGCAAAGAATTGCATTCCCAAAAACGAGGTTCCGCCATTTTGACGATAATACAGAGCAAGTTACGTCACAAGTTTAGTTGAGACAATCGATAGGAGATGGCGCTTACTGAGGACGACTGCTAACGTGAATTCGATACAATTGCGATGTTGCCGTTCTTACAACAGCGTCTCTCTACACTGTTGCCATTTTACTGAAGTCGAAATCGCGCTTAGCATCCCGTATCCTTACAGTTGCCAACGTCGACTCTCAGTCTCTCATCCTTCTTCATCGAACTGTTTCTTTATACTTTCGTCGTCGCTTCGAAATTCTAGCTTTGCGCTGGACGCGGTTCGA